CTAGGCGCATTGATGCTTACCTCTTCGAAGAGAAATATGAAAATGAAGGTCACTAGGAGGACGATCTACTTAAGATGATACTTGTGCCAAACTAGGATTAGGAGGACGAGGTCTTCTTGAGTAAACATTAGTTGTAGGTGGCTTAGGCTACGGCGCTAGTGGTAAAAGTGGAGTTAAACTGATGATGTGATATATTAACATCTCATTACAATTTTGTGAGAATTTAGGCAATAATAATTCACTGAAGAATGAGGTTTGTTCATAAAATATTATTTAGCAGAGGCCATGTACTTATTTAAGAGGGGAAAAACATCAATACCCCTTTTACAAATGAGTGTATCATAGAAAGACATGCTTTAATGACTTAGAGTGCAATTTAAAAGGCTGTGGATGAGTATCGCGAACAAAATAAATACACCCAAATATACATGGTTTAATGGAAAAGAGAGTTGTTTGAAAATAAAACTCGATAGAGTATTTGGTTTTGTAAAATAGTAGAAGGTATCCGATTGATTAAAAATTATGTAGTAGAAACTGCAACAACTCAAAACTGTTTGGGTACATTAATTCGAAATAAAAAGCTCTTACTATGTCAAGAAAATTTCTATTTTTCCATCCATCTACTCCATTTGGGATGAAGTATCGACTCAAAATGACCGGTGAAACATCTACCTTTGTGTCATGTATATATGAGAAGGTGTAGAGAAGTATTCTTTGTCATTGTCATTTCTCATAATTTTAACAGAAACATTGAATTGAGTTTTAATTTCAGTCTAAAAAGATTGAAAATGTGACAGTAATTCGATACGAGATTTCATAAAGTAAAACCAACTTATATAAGAAAAATTATTCGTAAAAGTGATAAAATATCAAAATACATTTGATAAAATAGAATAAGGTCTCCATACGTCAGAATTAAACAACTCAAAATCATGACTAACACATTATTAAATCTGGGAACAAAAGACAAATAATAGTGTTTAACAAAATTGCATGACTTACAATCTAAAGATGATACTTACTGAAATTAAGGGTATAACTTTTTTTAGCATTGATAGTAATGGATACCCTAATCAGCAATGGTCTCCAATGGAGATAAGGTGCTGGAAGAGGCTATAGGTCGGGATAATTCATTATTTAAAATGGATAGCCCTCTTGGTTTTCATCCTTTATGAATAATTTTTTTCGTCATACAATCCTGAAAGAGACTAGTCAATGAAGAGTAAGATACGATAATTAAAAGCACGTGTAATTTTACTAACAGAGACAAGATGACAATAGAATTGACTTAAACTAAGGGCATACGTTAAATGTAATGTAGGTGTAACATTAATCGTACCATAACCAATTAGAGGTAGATCCATCTGCAATGATGACGAAAAAAGATATTTATGAAAGGTGGAAAAGGGTTTTGGATTTCCTATTATGTGATCTGTAGCAACAAAATCAATGATTCATTATATAGAGAGGAAAGATGATAAGTATCATTGTTACCTGACTCAGTAAGGGCAGTAATAGTGGGAGTTTCCTTATATACTTCTTGAAATTAGATCAATTTAGCATATTCATTTGTAGAAATCGAGATAGTGATTTTGAGAGGCCTCTTTAATAGTGATCATGTGAGCTGACTGTAATGTAGAACCCTCCTGTTTCTTTTTAATCAATTTCTGATATGTTCTATTCGTTTGACTAGGTTCATGACAGTAGTAGCAATCTACCCTTTGAGCGTTGATTTTTAAAATTCAATTCTACTTCCATAATTGCCCTCAGACTGAGGTTTACTGATGTCTGTATTTTTCCAGCTAGCAAGAATACTAGGTTGTTGTACGGATGAAGTTTGGGAACTCAAAATATTACACCACACTCTAGTATAGGCTTTCCTCTGAAAAATAACTCTTAAGGTTAAATAGGATCTTTGATTTGATACCTTTATACTAAGAGTTGAGCCCAACTAGAAAACTCATAATAGTCATTTCTTCTCTTTGAGCTTGTTGAATTCGAACATCAGTATTGAAGGGCAGTAGTATATCAAAATTTTTCATAAACACGTTTAAAGTGCATGTTATAGGTGTGAAGTGATTGATCCTGTTGTTCAGTTGATAAAACTATTTGCATACATCAAAGATTTGATAATATTTTCTCTCTCAAAAAAACACAAATGCCAAGTCCTCCATAACATCTTTAACACAATTATAATGAGTAATATGACCATATAATTATGTTAGATAGAGTTCAGTATTTATATCAAAACTGGGCATCAGGGTTTATCAACTCAAAATAATTCAGACCAATCTCAGTAGAAGGATTATCAATGAGGTGACTCTCTTGGGATTACTTCTCAAGTAGAGTCTCATAGTTTTATATCAGTGAAAATAATTGATGTTATTTAATTTTTCATTTGTAATATTAGCCATTGTCGAAACCAAACCTATCGCATGTTTTTTTTTTAAATAGCCATGGTTATTACCAATGATGGCCTCCTCAATGCACTAGTACGGACGAGCTGGAGGTCGAGGCGAACTCCAAATATGAGCAGTATCGTGTTGTAGGAGACAAATGACTCGACGAATAATTCATCGATTGTCGAAGACAAGATGAAGAAAAAGCAAACGAACCTTTGAGCGATGCCTTAATCACGTTGTAGGATGAGGAAGTTTCGAATAGTGCAGACGAAGCCGCAAGATGTAGACGAAACCGAACGATATAGACAGAGCCGGATGACAGACGAAGTGGTTGAAGCAGACAAAGACAGACTAAACCGTGACACAGAATGATGACTGACATAGTTAAGGTCGCATTCGCGTGCGGAGAACAAAGCTCAACTTGGGGCAATGGTTTGTGTGTGGCTTTGATACGACGTAAATGGAATAAATTATTTCTCTTATTTCTCAATTGAAAACATATGTTACGTATTTATATACAATCTCATCTCTATAAATTAGGAATATCCCTGATGTAGAAAAGATCCTGTAATCAGAGCTCCTTTAATTAAATTACATAATATCAAGCTTTCTAATATACAAGCTTTAGATTTATTACTTTACATAACAATCTTAAGGGATGGATTCCTCTATTAAAGGCAAGCATCAAACTTTGATTAATTCTTCAGCGTCAAGATGAGATATGAACTAGAGATCAAATTAAAACGATTCAAGCTTACATATTGAAGTTCAAATTCATTATTTGTATCAACATTTGTTAGTGCTATCAGAGATCTATAAGGCAAAACACTTTGTCTGACATTTAAATAATTGTTTAGAGATCCACAAGGTCGATCAATTTACAACAAACACAATCCACAACAAAAATGTTCCACTTTAGACGCACACCATATTTGTTAGGGGGTATTTGTTGACATGAATATAAGCTCCATAATTTGACACAACAAAGAATGATGTTGAAGAAAAAATTCAAACAGGACGCTATGTAAAGTAGATTCAAGAGTGCTAATTGAGGTCAAATTCATTCGCAATGGTGTCTGTTCATAGAATAAACTTCAATGACGCATCTAGAAGTCAAAATTATCTAGAGAAGTTCAAAGTGACAAAGGCAATGAACAATGCACATGATGACATGCAGATTGAGTCGAAATAGTTTCGACTATTGTTGAAGTTAATCAAATGATGTTCTTTTATAAAGCGGACCACATTGATGCTTATTGATCACTTACAATATTTTAGATAAACACCTATATTGTTGAGGTCCCAACACAAATGCGAAATGCAAATTCAACATGAGCTTGAGATCGATAATACGAAGGTCGAGATTAGCAAATGATCAATTGAGGTCAAAAAAAGGTATATATATATATATATAATGGTGAAAATAATTAATTTAATAGTTAATTATGTTAAATCAAAATTAAATACAATGTCTAAAACACCTTCACGAAATGTTGGAAAGATTTGATTGGGGTTATTTTTGGAAACACCTTTCTTAGTTTTATTCCCTTTCTATTTTATGTTTCTTTTTTGTATTTCAAAATTATTTCCTTTCCTAATTTAGACTTAGATATATTTGGTGTTTGTAAATTAAGAGAGATTGGTTTCTTTATATATATATATGTACCCTACATGTCAATAATAAAAATTAAGTAAATTTTCCTCCCCCTACCTATTTTCAACTCCAATAAAAAATTTAACATTAGAGTTATATATTGGCAAGAAGTTTAGGATACCAAATAAAAAATCCGTTTGGCCACAAAAATTAGAAACCTTTCCTACAGTAGTAGGATAAGCTTCCAAAATAGAGGAACCAAGGATGAAGTCAATGACCAACACGGACTAACAAAAAAAAATCACTTATAAATACTCATGAGGAGATAACTTTTTAAGCACGTGCATGCAAAATGCCTACAAAAACTCGAAAAAAAAAGGTTCAAAAATTTAAATATAAGTATAAATTTTCATTTTATTAATCATTATAACAAAAATATTTTGCCTTTCTAACATCAATTGGTGCCTATGACAAGTTTAAAAAATTGCCGAACTAATTTTTTAAAGGATGGCATGGTATTTGCTTCTACTTAGAGGGTGGAGACCTAAAAGCCATACTCGTTCTTATCGGATTTTCATTATGTAAACACAATATTGATTTGTTTTAAGTTGTCAATTTTCTAAAGAATAAAGTTATTATCTATGCTCACATATAATATCTAAAAAAATAGCAATATGTAAATAATTAACAATTTCATTACATTATTTTCAAAAAAAAGGTTGTTGAATCAAATTAAGTTGGAAAGGCGTAATGAAAATTTTGTTTGATATTTGGTCAATGTTTGTATTCAAATTTTTGTTCTTGATATATATGTTGGCGTGAAAGATGTTGGGCAGATTTAATTGTTCAGATTTAATAGTTTCAACTTTTAGTAATATATTTGTCCACCTTTATAGATTCAACTTTTTTCACTCATTTATTTGCATTATAATGCATTAGGGAATCTTTCATATTTCCTACTCTAGCAGATTTATCTCCATCTTCAAATTCTCTTTGTTGTTTAGGCTGGGCCTGATGAGAGAAGTATTCCTGGAAATACTATAGCTGTTCAAGCAGACATGCCTTTCAGTGGTCTCACAACATATGGAACTGCATTTTTATCAAAATTTCAGTGCTCACAAATGCCACATCCTGTAAGGTTTTGCTTTATTTCAAATAATTTTAACCAGTGTTATATTTACTTATCATGGTTTTCATAACTGTTTAAGCTCCTAGAGCAAATCACCTTTGTGGATACTCCTGGTGTTCTTTCTGGAGAGAAACAGCGTACCCAACGAAGCTATGATTTCACAGGTGTTACCTCTTGGTTTGCAGCAAAATGTGATCTTATTCTTCTTCTGTTTGATCCTCACAAACTTGATATTAGTGACGAGTTCAAGCGTGTTATAAGTTCTTTACGTGGCCATGATGATAAAATACGTGTTGTACTTAACAAGGCAGATCAAATTGACACCCAACAGGTTTTTTTTTTCCCCTATTGTATCTTTTGAAGCATACATCAAATAAGCTGTCATGCTTGTTTTGCCATCAATTTTCTTTTTTCTTTATTTATCTGCATTTCTTTTTTCGCTCAAACAGTTATTTTTGTTCCTCCCTGCAGCTTATGAGAGTTTACGGAGCATTAATGTGGTCACTTGGTAAAGTCTTGAATACACCTGAAGTTATGCGTGTTTATATAGGGTATGCATAGACTATTTTCATTTAGTGTATTGTCCGATTGCATTTATGATGATAAATGATGTTAGCTCTTACCGAAATGAGCACTCAAGTGTCTTTTTTCATAATTCTGAAAATCAGTTGCTTTCAAAACCTCAGGATTCAGATAATAAAATTTGTGATGCTTAATCATCTTGACATTTTGATGCTATATAGATAGTTTAAACCATTTATGCTTTTAAATGGCGCGTTGACAGGACTAATCCCAATTTCAATGATTATAAATGATAGCTTAATCATCAAGTGCTCTGTGGATTGCTTTAACCGACACAAGTCAGTCACAAAAATGCGCACGACACTTGTTCAACATGTGCCATACATGCCTACATGTAAAAAATTAAACAAATTTTCAGGCACGTGTAAAAAAAATTATTTAATTTATAAATAGTAACAAAATGTATAATAAAATATTAGATTTTGATGATTTTTATTGTATCAAATAACTTATGTTTATTTTTAATATGTAATATTCTAATAAATTATTGATGATCATATTTTTATGTATTCGTTAAATTTGATTACTTGTTTTTTTTATTGTATTAGTTAATATTTCTCATAGTTTTTTTTACCTTTTTTTTGTCTTTTATCTTGATTTATGAATAATATGATAATCATTTATATTTTTTCATTCTTAAATTTTTTTCATCCTTTATAATATTAGAACTTTTATTTATTTATTTCATATTTATTTAATTTATGTGATTAGTATATATTTTTCCAAAAATTTATATATATATATATATAAACCAAGATACTCTATTGAAGCATAATTAACTTCAAAATCCTTATCAATGAACTTTTTCAGGTCATTCAATGATAAACCAGTGAATGAAGCAGCTGTTGGTCCAATTGGGAAAGACCTCTTTGAAAGAGAACAGGATGATCTTCTTTCTGATTTAAAAGATGTTCCCAAGAAAGCTTGTGACCGCAAGGTATTTCGGCTACGCTCTTCTCTTATCCTTGCACTTACATCTCCTTCGAACCCTATTTCAATTTTATAACTTCCTCTTCAGATCAATGAATTTGTAAAGCGTGCAAGGGCAGCAAAGATTCATGCTTACATAATCAGCCACCTCAAAAAGGAGATGCCTTCAATGATGGGCAAGGCTAAAACTCAACAAAGACTTTGTGACAACCTGGAGGATGAGTTCATGAAGGTATTGTTTTTAAGAGCTCCAATGCATTGTTTTTAACAGCTAATTTTTCCCTAGTGTCTTATCCCTATTGGCAAATTCTCAGGATCTTAGTTCTTGTCGTTGCAGGTTCAAAGGGAGCACCATCTTCCGGCAGGAGATTTCCCAAGTGTCGAGCATTACAGGGGGATGCTCGGTGGCTATAACATCGACAAGTTTGAAAGGCTAAAGTCTAAGATGATTCAAGCTGTCGATGATATGCTAGGATATGACATCCCAGAACTTCTGAAGAATTTCAGAAACCCATATGAGTAATCTGTATGCAACTTTGATCTGACATGCCTGTATTCTGTTCTCTTCTATGTGGCCTGTCTAATTTTGGCCACCTCTGTATTTGTTTTTGGCATTTTTTGGTAGAAGGGTAGCAATGGGACTGTGAAGGGGGAGGGCTGTTATATATGTCCAATATTGTTGGTATTACTTCAACATTTTTTGTAGCTGTCTTAAAAATTGTTAAGAGTTATTTGGAGAGCTGAATAAGTCTTAAAAGTATGTACTATAGGTTATGTTTTTTGATCAAGTGAATCATGGGTCCGGAAGTTCGCTTTTTGATCCTGAGGTCAAAAGTATTATTTTGTTCTTAAGATTGAACTTAAAAATTTGTTAGTTAACTAGTGTTGACCGACCAAAAACCTTTTAATATGAACTTGGCTGACCGTAAGTTCCATTTGTTTTAATAGCCCTGGAAACAGCAACAAATTTTATGTAATGCAAAAGTCGTTGCGAGTAGGGGATGCTTCGTTGTCCAGCTTCCAAGTAAGTTTCTAAGATATTCGTGTAACTTACATTTTGTTATTACATTTTGTACAAACTAACTGCCGAGTTACCATGAATATTTGATGTTTGGCATTGATTTATGGTATGATTTAGACAATGGCTGATGGAGAACATTAGACTTTTAATGATAATAGGCAGTATATTTAGTTGTTTTCTTTATAGGATGGGGGGCTGAGCATCAATTATTGGAATCTGGTATGCATCTGGTGAAAAAGCATATTACAGGTGTAAGGTTAGCTGGGTTGTTCACTTAATAGAAGGATTGATTGAATGGCTGAAAAGCTGGTTTTGGATATCAACAGTTAATAAACATCAAATTGTTGGTATGCATTAAACAATCAAAAAGATAAGAGTCAAATGTTAAATTTCTGTTAGTATATGTTGTGAGAAAATTGAATAGGACTGTCCATAATCAAATGATAGTGGATGGTTGACTTCACGGCTCGGACATTTTCCTGATAGCAAGTGAAATCGAGCGAAAAAAAAAGCAATAGTCAACAATGATTGAGGAATGTTAGTAAGTAGGTTGTTCTATGCATCATATGGTAAATGAGGAACACCAAAGTTTGAAGTAGTAATGAGTGATCTATTTGATCTTTGTCTTGATATAATGAGATGTTAAGCAATAAGCAAGAAGGATATTTACCCACTTTACAAAGTACTTTGCAAATATAAAAGTAGATATGGAGAAAATTTTGCCCATCCTATCCATTTTTCATGGACCTTGTCACAGAAAGTGAGTGGGTTTTTGGCCTATATGACTAGTCTTATTCATAAATTGCTTTCATTATGCATTATAATTTGCAGTGCATTTTTAAACATAAATTGAATTCTAATATTGTGACAACTTTTAACATTTTTTGCCTATCAAATAATCTCAACATCAAAATTCTTATGATATTTGTTTCTTTCATTTAACAGTCATATATTATTATTTTCCAAGAGTGATGATTGAGAGCAAAAAGGGAATGGGGCATAAATTCTTCTTATTAAATAAAAAAAGAGCCACCCTACCCTAAAGAAAGTTATGTACTCATTATATCTATAAAATCAATGCTATATAAGTAAGAAGAATTCAAATATTCAAAATAATTTGAATTATATGTGGTCAACTTGGAAGGTTTGGAGAAGTTTTAATTTGGTGAGGCTCACCCTAATAAGGGACATAAACATAGTATATAATCATTTTATGAGAATCAATTTCACAAAAATAAGAAGATAAATACAATAGAAAATATTTATTTAAGAATTCAATATCTTTAGTTCATCAAGTATGAAGGCTTCTTTATTGGTATATATATAAGAGAGGTTTTTTTGGGTTGCAATAACATTCATGCATATGACAAGCATTTTTTAACTCCGACTCCTTGAGCTTTGATGTCTCTTCAGGACTTCAATCGTTTCATAAAATTTAAGTTTATTTGATAACTCAAAATTCATGTTATTTTGGATCAAACCATATACAATAGTCAACAAAATTCAATAAATGGTTGTGCAACTATACCAAATATTGGAATATTTATAAATTATAACACCACAAAATTATTTACAAGGTTATTTGTTAACTATCAATTCATTTAAGAAAATCTTGGTGTTAACCCCTCGTATCAAAAATAAAAACATAGGCTATCAACACACAACATTCAATGCATTTACACCACAACTTTTAAATTGACAACAATGACATCCCAAAAGTTTAAAAAAAATAAACAAACTAAAATCTAAATAAGGAAATAAAATTTAACAAATTCTAAGAAAATAATAACACACTTAATTCTTGAAACCATCAACAACATGGAAAAATTATAGCATCAGAAGTCCTAATGTAGTTTTGCATCAAGATTTTAATCAGGATCTGTCACGTATGCAAACAACTATGGGAGTTTGATGCAGGAGTGAATTTATGGAACCCAGTGTTAGAGCAAAGGATTTGAGAATTAAATGATAGTTGAAAATGCCCATGTGATTAGGATAGCGTTCCTCGGCTTGCGGCCTCAGTTCTTCGCACAAAACCTCTCCAAATGAAGCCAAAAAATAAGCCGAAAAAGAAAACCCCCGACCACTGCTGAAACTCCATCTCCTTCCAGCGAGAAGCAATGGCGAGCACGCTCATGGCTTCCTCCTCCACCACTCCTCATTTCATTCTTCGCGGCCCCCAATTCTCACCCCGCGCACTGTCCAAAACGTTCTACCTCAAAATAAGCGGCGACCAGAACCCTTTTCTCCTCAAACGCCTGACCACCTTACTAAAACCGCCGGCGACGGCGGCGGCGGCCGCTGTAGCAATTGCTACGATTACGATGCCGGCGTTGGCAGAGCAGATGGAGAAGGCGGCGCTGTTCGACTTCAACCTAACCCTCCCGGCGATCGCTTTGGAGTTCTTGCTCCTCATGGTCGCGCTCGACAAGATCTACTTCACGCCTCTGGGGAAGTTCATGGAAGAGCG